ACGCACGCACACGCACGCACACCCACCCACACCCACACACCCACAAACACCCACCTTTCATTGGAGACATGATTCAAGCATTGACGTCACAAAGCCACATGCGCTTGAACCCGCAGCGTGTGAGGCGTGCAAGTTTGCAGAAGGCGACTCCAGGATTCTGATGCAGAAATTGGCCCGGGACCGTGTCAAAGTATCAAAAGCTATTGGCTCCAGCTTCGCGCCTGCAATTGCCTAACTGCAAGATGATCCGACGGGACCCGTGTTGGGCATGCATTTTCATGCTGCCCTCAGGCGAGGAGCAGCGGTTGACAGCAGAGCTGCAAGCAGCTTTGAAGGGCGGAGCTCAGGCAGAGAGTTCGGCGCTTGCCAGGACCCTGCATGTAAAGCAGCCCAGCCCTGCTGTGAGGCATGGGATGAGAACTTTGACAAGGTGTATGACCTGGCGTGGCACGTTGTGACCCGCAACATTGATACGTTATGTCCAGGTATCTTGCCCACACTTTCACAGAAAGGGTCTGGAGTCTGGCGGCCAGCACGGCAATGCACGGCATCTTTGCGTTTTTCTTCATTTTTGCCTGGTGCTCATATCGCCAAGGCGCCACCCTCCGACTTCCTTGCGGGCTGTCGAAGCTGTAAAAGGTCAACTAAAGTTGATATGTTCTGACCCCACCGGAACCCCAACGGTTCATTGTTGTCTTTTTGTGTCTTGAACTCCGGCCATACCATTGGCAGGAATTCAGGCTTCGGAATCTCTTTCAATTCGATTCCAGAGCCTTTTTTACACCGTTAAGAAGGGCACACGTTTCATCAGTCATCCAAAAGCATGCAGAAGGCATGCCAGAAGGAAGCCAGCGGCAGAACAGCTTGCTTTTGAATAATCTCGCGATGCCGCGAAGCGGTTTTGTTGCTGTTTGAGCAACGCCGGCCGCAAAGGAGGAGCAGCAAAAGTCACAGTTCAGATGAAGCTTTGGAGGAAATTTCCGAACTTGGAGCAGCCATTTGCGAGGCCTGTATGGTTCGCATGCGGCGCCGCGGTGTCGTCCCTGACCTGACCTGCCGATCACTTGGCCTGATGGAACAAACGAATTCCAGCTCACCTGTACCTGTGATATCCTGTGATTGAGGTTACAACTCTTTGCTGCACGCCTTTGCTAGGGCAGCCCTTCCAGTCCAGGCCGCGTTGACATTCTCAGAATCTTGCGGAGACATCACGGAAGGGCGACATGGGCTACTCGTACTTGAACAAAAATGATGCGACCAGGCGCAGGCATCCTTGGCAGATTTACGCAGCCAGGCGCTGCAGCCGGTGCCGGCCCAAGCCTACAGCCGACCTAGCCATAGAACTTCGAGGGAGCTTTTGTGCGGGGCGCGGGAAAGGATGTCATCACCTTCAACACCTTGATCAGCGTGCCGGGCTTTGCCACCTCCGGAATCCAGAACTGAAGTGGGAGTTTCCAAAAATTAGGGGTACCTTATTTGGGGGTCCATATAACAAGGATCCTACTATTTAGGGTACTATATTAGGGTCCCCTAGTTTCGGAAACCCCCAAGTGGCATCTCGTCTCAGGCTTATGGTGGCTCGAGGCCAGGCTCAGTGGCAGTGGCAGGGGCGGTTTGTGTTTATATTATAATATAATATAATATAATATAATATAGTATAATATAATTTAATATAGTATAATATAATATAATATATATATATATATGTATAATATGTTGGTTCCCTGTCTCAGGGAGTCGCTGCAGTTTCTCGAAGTGCTCTTCCCGGTTTTAGCAACTTTTGCCTTCTCCGGCCTTTGCTCCCAGCGGGAGCTCAAAGCTGCTCAGGAAATGGAGCTTTGCTCCGTCCAGCCTACCGCCGCAAGCTTGTCAATCATTCGGATGATGCAAACGGAAGGCGCCGATGGTTGCCTCCCAAGGCTAGAAGCTACGTTGCGTTAGCCTCCTCCTTTGAACGATCTGGTCGGTGGCAAGAAGTGGAGGTGCGCTGCATCCCACTTCTTGGCTCGCTCTCCGCATGGCTGATGTGGCTGTTGATCTGGATCGCAAGCAGCAGCCGGTCGCTTTGCACATTTCGGCTTTTGATTCACAGCTAGTCGACTAATGTGCTCAGATATCTCATTCTTGTGAAACAGGATCCCCTGCCCGGAGCGAATCCCCACAGGTCCAAAATCTTCAGGCCCGAATCCTGATATCTGATTCAAGTTTAGACAACCTCAGCTTCTGCCAGCACGCAGCATGCCCTTCGATGCAAAGTACTTGCCTGAAAACCTTCGCCTACAGCTGCTGAAGGAGGCTGCGTCATGTGCCCGGCCGAGGGCGACTGGTGTCCGCAATCGGTTCGTTTGTGAGGCATTGCGTCTCGACCCCGACTTGCTAGAAGAGGACTTGTTGCTCCCTCAGTGCACGAAGAGCAAAACTCCCAAACAACCGGCGGAAAGACGTTCTGAGCACAGGTCCCGAGGTGTCATCCTCCATTTGGATGTCCGGCACTTTTAAGACGTGTCATGCTGAAGCTGAGACGGTAAGCTGACCAGAAAACAACGTTCCAAGGACCTTCCGGAGCAGATGAGCCGGGCAATCTCAAGAGAAGCGCTCTGCTTGAGAAAGAAGCGTGTGAGTGCAGAGTCAGAATCAGAGCTCGGAGAGGCTTTCCTTCGAGATCTGCAGTGGTGCCCACGAAATTTCTTGCACAGGCGCCCATGGGCGCCACGCTCCCACGTTTTCAGCGCTCAGCCCGGAGACAGGTATCGCCTTGCTTTCAAGGACCTGGACGACATCCCCAGAGAGGTGGGCTCTTAGTGTCACATCTCGTATCATATCGATGTCAAATTTCTTGATCGCTGGTGTGGTAGGCCATTGCACCTCTGCCAGACGATCTTCGAGGGTGCAGCCTTGCAGCTAGACAGCCTTTGTTGTTGTGAGACTGCATGTGCAGGGCCCTGGACAAGCTCGAGCCCTTGGATCCTTGGCTGGGTTCCCAAGTTCTGATCTGTGGCAGAGCGCATGGAGGGGACAGTTGTGAACTACAAGGTCTGCATCTGTCATGGCCCAATGGCTGGCAGCGCACCGAGACATGTGGCATACGGACTCCGGAGTCACAAGTAATCCCTCATGGCCCTGCTGGCCCTAGTTCCGCTGACGGGTGGTGGCCGGCTCCCACAGACCCCCAAATCAACCGCTGTCATGACCAGCACACGCAGTGCAGAGCAAGCATAATGGCTGGAGGCCCAGGTTAGCCTTCGGACCAGACGGTGATGATGGTGACACAAATCGGCTGCAGAGTGGAGCTGCCCAGGATCCTACTTGGCGCTGCAAAGCCTGGGACGAGATTGATGTGATGCCTCAGGCTCGACAGAGCTTTCAAAGTCGAATGCGGCAGTATGGGCACGTGAACAGGGGATCTCTGACGAGAACCTCCGCAAAGAAAGGCATCCGGCGGGATCGACGAGTGTAGCGGCGGTGACTCAAATCCTCGACGTGAGGGAAGAGAAGTATCCTGATGGTGTACCTGCTGAGGCTGGTTCTGGTGGTGTTGTTTGTGCAAAAATCTTTCTGAAAGTCATGAAAGCGTTCCTGACTGCAAGGTCCGAGAGCGACGAGTGGATCCTTTCGATGGCCAGCAAGCATCTCAGAGGAAGCCATTGTGACCTGCACCAAACAGCAGCATCGCCACATTCGGCCGGAAGGCGCGGGGCTTCTTGAATTCCCTGACATGGCTCCAGGCGTTACTCCCTTGCAGAGCTAATAGCGAACCTGGTCAGCATTCAAGTCGAGGAGTCGTGAATCACAGTGTATTTGATCTCGGCAAAACACTTTTGTCTGGCTGGCTTTGTGCTAACAGGCAGGCGGCGACTACGAAAGGCAGTCTTTTAGTTGACTGGTGGACCTTTAGAAGAAGCTGAGGAAATACAGAAATGAGTACAGCGAGAAAGATGTCAAGTCGTACTGGAAGACGCCCTGCTGCAAGAGTTCAGACCATGTCTCGAGAATTGCAGCCTGCACGTGCAGGAACTGATGGTTCACCAAACACAGTTTCCACCACCTCGGGCTGGCAGGAATGCTATGCGGCCCAACGAATACAAGGCCCGGCAGCCAGCGCTGCTCCTGCCATCCATCCCTATCATCTCGTTATGCTTTGAGCAATGACGTGCAAGATTCAGCGGATGTCAGTGGTGCAGAGGTCGTCGATTGAATTCCTGGGCTAGCTTGCTGCTGCCAAGATCAATTGTACATACGACGATGTGTAGCCCATGGAAGTCGCCCCTGCACATGAACAGCAGCTTGAAGTCTACTCCTGTGGCTTCGTCCGAAGATACGGGCGAGTGCTTGACGTTGCAGCATGCGAAAATCTGAGCACACTTGGATCGGCCTTTGCCTAAACGTGACCAAGTTAATTGTCTCCAGCGGGGCCGATGACAGCATCAAGTATATGTGGGAGCCTCTAGAAGAAAGCCGCGCAGTTGACGCGTGAGATAAAGCATACTCCCCCTTGCTGCACAACATTGAAGTTCGCACAATGTCGGACAGCAAGCACAGGAGGGTCTTGCGACTGAGCCCTTGCACAGCCTGAAACGATGCGGCCTCATGGCTGTAGCTGGATCGTGGACACAGCGAGTGCGGGTCTTGGTTCCTTCAACGTTCAGCAACAGTGACAAGTGACGTGTGAGCGATTGGGGCATATGTAGATCTCTGTCAAAAGCGAAGACACGCTGCTTCGCCCGCTTGCCCACATGATTTGCTCAAGCTTGCGCACGGGCGGAGCGTGCCCGACGAGCCTTGGCTGCTTTAGTTAAATGGGGGTTTCCGAAAATAGGGGGTACCTTATTTTGGTGTCC